TTCTTCCAGTATTAAACGTTCGCACAACGGTACGAACCACGCAACCGTCCAAACGATGAAAACAACAGAGGAATCATCGACGACAACCATGCAGCCATTCAATCGTGGATGCAACTTTGCGCACTACGACCATGGACAGGGACCACGTGACAATTCCACCCACCTACCGATCGCACCAACCCACGTCCTCCCACCTCCCTCCCGTTCGCATGGTCCTACATCAAAACTAGGCGGTCTCCAAGTGCATCCCGCAACAAGTCCCCGTCCACATTCGTGCTCCGTCGCCGCCCGCGCCGTTCCTCACGATGCCCAAGTCCACTCTACACCGAACGTCGTTCGCATCCACCTCCCACAAAAGGTTCTCGTTGAAGTCAACCCCGCCTCGAGAAAGATGTTGTTGAGAGTGCACACGACCACGAATTGTTATGGTAAGGTCTCCAGATTCGTCTTGTGGGTGCGCAAGAACAGACGCCACATGCACTTCAGTCGCCCGAATGCCCTCTCCACACACCTCCTCGCCACCTTCTGCCGCATGTCGAAGCGCTCCTCGTCAGGACCTTGGTCGATTCCTCCGTACGACTGCACGATCCATGGACAGGCAACTGGATAACTTCTATCGCCCAGGAGGTAACCTCGTGTGACGACACCGTGCGGCAGATTCTCCGGAGGTGCGTCGAATAGCTCGCCAGTTTCTGCATGCCTCCACAGCTGGGAATTGTGCAAGACACGGACGTCATGCACACTTCCCGGGTATCCGATGTGGACGTCGAGGATCCGCAGATCCAAATCCACCACCACCTGCACCTGCACAGAGAACTTCTGTTTTCGGTCGTAGTAGTTGGCCGAAGGTGTGGCGGCGGGCTTGTCAATGTAGATGTGTGTACAGTCAATTGCGCCGAAGCAGTTTGGGAAACCCTTAACACGGAAAGCGCACAGAATCTGCGCACGTCTACGGCCCACTAGCCACTTTATCGCGTTGAGGTACGCCTGCAGCAGCGTCGAAGTGACGTCGCAGACGACCTGCAGTCCTGTTGCCCTGCCGATGCCGAAGGCTGACGTGCCGCTCTCGTACGTCTCTCCGTACGCCCACCTGTACAACGAGAAAGCGATCACCAGTTCCACCGGCAATGACATCCTATAGTGCATGACCTTCTTCTCCACGTACGCAGTGCACGCGGCTACAATCTGGGTGAACATAGCATGGCGATCGACATGCGCAACTTCTGCCGGTAGTACTCGTTCGTCGCGTCATCACACAAGCGGAGGTCCTCCCATGTTCCGCCAGTCCATCGTCTAATCCACCAACACGGGGTCTGCAGCGAGAAAACGCCAGACGATAGCATGACACACAACAGGACGACTGCCTCACACGTGGCCACGCAATCCGGCGCTTCGACAACGCTCTACAACAGCGTTCTTCGTTTGCGGAGCTGCATGACCATATCGCGTGAGGACGATGACGTGTCGCTCATCGTGTTGACGGCGACGGCAGTCACCACCATCGCCACCACGTAGATCTCTTTTTCGCGTTGACCGTGCCCGCAGCCATGAACGTCCATCTCTGACAATCGTTCTGCGTCTACAGCGTAACGCCTGCCACAGCCGCCAAAGACACGCCCGCTGCTTAACCCTGCCGTAGGAGACCACACACGCCGGAGCCGAAGATGCGCCCGCTGTTGTACGCTGCCATAGGAGATGACGCACGCTGGAGCCGAAGACACGCCCGCTGCTCTACGCTTCCACAGGACAGTTCGCACGTCGGAGGTGAAGATGCGCCTTGCAGGAAGATGCGGCCGCTGCTCACAACTTGTGTAGACTAGAAAGATGGATACCCACGCTGAACAGTTCGCCAATGCCGGCTTTTGTACGTCACACGCGTCGCCTGGCCGTCCTCCGCCCCCCCCACCCTGCGTCCGCGAAAATTCAAATTTGAATTTTTGAAGTTCTGGGTGACCGCGCTTTTCACCGACCCGTCCTCACCCGCCCAAGGTCCACCGCAGTGTGTACCACAAACACCAACCAGGAATGGACGGACATCGGCAACGCAGCTGCGTATACGCAGATGAAAAACGGGCGCGGGAGACCTTTTAGGACGAATCCTAAAAGATGATTTTTAGGATTGTGTGTAACGACGCCGCACGAAATCCTAAAAAACATTTAGGATTCGTCCTAAAAATTTTAGGATTCATTTAGGAGTGTCTAACGAGATCCCAAGAAGACAATGCAACCTTAGAGAAGCAGTACTGAGCATGCTCTTTCCTTTCTTTGAAGTTCATTTGTTCTGCATCTGTATTCCAGCTCAGATTTTTACTGCGACAGGTCATAGGTGTACCACCTCCTCTTAGGTGGTACACCTATGAGCTGCCAGAGTAGAAATCTAAGTTCGAATCCGGATGGAGAACAAATCAACTTCCACGAAAAGAGAGAATGTGCTACAGTACTGCTTCTGCAATAACTCGGCTGAAATTTGCATAAGTTGTGGGCTCTAGGATGTCATTTTTGGTCAAAAGCCCAAAACAGGGTCAAAAGTATCACCCTAAGTCTAAGAAAAACCTGGGCAAGGGCCTAAGAACTAGCATTTCGTTAAAATTGACATTTTAAAATGATTTTTACTATTTTCACAAAATGCGGCATCCAAGAAAAATCTCTCTTAGCGTGCTTTTATGCCCACGACATTGGACCATTGATGGTCCGGCGTCCTTGGGACTCTGGACCATCTGATGTATCTTGACATAAAATAGTGCCAAAATACATCCGAGGGTCGAAAACAAATAAAAAGGACCGGGCAGATCAGATGGTCCGCCGGACCATCAATGGTCTGATGTAGTGAGCATAAAAAAATTGCTAAAAAATACTGTGCTATTTTGGAAGATCAATTTCGGGAAAATAGTAAAAAATATCAATTTTAATGAAATGCCTGTTTAAGGTCAAGGGGTACCCAGGGCAGGGCCAAAATCAGCATTCACAAGCCCTACAAGCAACAGTTGACTTTGAGAAAGTCAACAAACAACCCCAACTTGGGAATCCAGGCCCAAAGGTGAAAGTCAATCTGCTGATCAGCCATGACCGTAAATCAGATACAGATCATTGGTTGTCTGCAGGTATACAGAAGAATCCGGTCCAAGTGGGACAGCTGGGAAATCTGCAACTGCGCAGCATCCA